TGGTGTATTTAAAAAAAGTTACCTGATCGTAACAGTTTATAACATCATCGTATGGCATTGATTTTTTACATTCTTCAAACTTTAACAGCATTTCCTTTGCAAGGTCCTCATTCTGTCGGTAAAGTATCATTCGATACACCAACTCTCTTTTGCATGTTTTTGTTAAAACTCTAGAATGAGTCCACGAATCCTTTATTATTTGGTTATCATTCTCCGCATGAAATTGGGCTAAAAGCTTGGGTATCGTGATTGCTAGTAATGGATCTTGGTCAAATACTTCCCCATAAGCGTCCTCGGTATCTGCTTGCACAGTTCGCCCCTGAAAGAAAAATGGCAAAAATCCAAATGAAACTATCACAATTTTTTTATAATTTGTGACTAAAATTTACATCCTCCGTAAAGAAATTTTGTGATTTTTTTAAATCGAACATAGTTAAGATACTTATTACATAAATTAACTCACGTAGGCTGCAGCTAAAAGTACGAAGATAATGAAAACATTCATGATTTTTTTAAATCGATTCCTGTTCGGATGTAATCTGATTCTCAAGAAGTAAGCAAGTTCTTTTATACAGTCAAAAATAGTAGATATTACTGATATTATTATTGTATGGTTTATATACTTTGTAATTAAATTTGTTTACTGAATTACTGATAACTGTTTGGGTACAAACATAAAGCTGATTAATTATATCTTTTTCTAAAAATTAATGAAGAAATAATATTCTTACACAGTATCATTTGTGAATAAGATATTGTACAAGGCCATGGTTTTTTTTCAAAAAATTAATGATTTCAAGATTGAAGCGAAGCCAGGTAAATATATTTTGTATAGCTTTGTATGGTGCTTATAATGCGCTAATTTAAGCGGGACGTTATAAATTAAAATTTTCGTAAAATTTGTGCTAGAAACATTTCGTAACAAATTAAAATTGTTATTAAAATTATCCTTTACTTTCATCACATACTGCTTATTGATGAAGCTTAAAAGCTATATTAACAATTGTAAAAAAAGATCAGCTTCAGTAGTATCGTTAAATGAAATTTATATGAAATAGGCAATACTTTTTATGGCATTTTTGACAATTTTCAATCCTGTATGAACGTCAAAAGATAATTGGTAAAAAAGTTAATAATCATCAGACTGGTGTTTAATTAACTCTTATGTACTTTTTTTGAAAAAATGAAGAAAGGAAGAACATCCAATTTATTGCTGCATCACGGCAGGCAATAAAACTCTGATATTCAGGTTACGTCGCACGCTTGGATAGGAACGCGAGAAATTTTCGCGAGCCTCAAATCAAACGAACCGCGGGTGGTAAGGCTCGCGATCGCTATCTCTTTTTTTTGCTCAAACGGATGATCGCCACCGGGAAGTTGCCGTATACTGACCGCTCGAATGAGCTTCGAAACCGGCAAAAGTTACGCAATTTTACGGATTATCGGATAATTATCTCCGTATAGGCACGAAAATGTTTAGCCTAGTGTTCGATGGGTGTAACCTTCGATCGATACTGACTGATGATCGACATGCGATTAAATAGCGCATTAGTACTGGAGATTAGAGATTGCAGAGGAAAGTGAAAGGATCGTCAGTATCCCAAATGCTAGAACATATTTACTCGTTGCGACAAAGTGTTGTATTTTTTTTTCTTTATATTCCACTTGCAAGCTGACGTTTTCTTGGAAAGTGAAACGTGTAAACAGCCATGAGTCTACTTTAGTAGCAATGCACAACGAAAATTGATTTAGTGGCAGAAAATGATAATAGTTTGCGAACTTGGCTCATTACACAGCAGCGAGGGCTCGGCAGAAGTACATTATTCCTGGGACGTGCATCTCATTACAGTCAATTTTCATCTTCGTTTGCATTACACGCTAGCTAACACACGGTTCGCGCTCTCCGTATGCTACTCCTGTATGATTTAGACTTACAATAATCGTACATATGTCTCCTTACTGATACTATGTTCATTTAGTTCTTTTCCGAGTAAGAAAATAAGCTCTCGCAGATATTGAAGCTGCAAAGATTGTTTTTCGCAGCATACAAAATTTTTTTTTTACATTGACATGATTTTTAGCAGCATCTGAAAGCATGGATACAAAATGGAAATATATTGCTTCGACATCTACCGAGTAACTTAAATCATGATTATTATTGCGATCGAATAAGTTCTGCATCAGGCCCCAGAATGAAAGAAATTTTGCTTCAAAAATTTTATGCATGATTTGTCATGGGCCAGTGAACCTCGAATTTTTTCATGTTTTTTCGTTGAAAACAAATTTTACTCACGCGTGATAAGTCTGAAAGTTATTTTTTATTTGCAGGCTTTGATGTGTAATCGCTTACTTTTGAGAGGAAAGATTCGTATACTTTTCATTTTGCTACATTAACTTTTTCCTCGCGTAAAATATTAAACTGATTATAATGCTCCAATGTAATGGTGTTCCAATCAAAATTTTATTATGAAAAAAGTTTAAATACATTTTATGATTCACTCAAATTTTCCCATATTTATTTTTGTAAAAATTAATAAACCGTTAATAATTTAGAGTTTATCAGAATAAATTATTGGGTTTTATCTTGGGACTATATTGAAGAACATTACGATTATGAACATTTATCTTACTAATTCTACGTGACAGTCATAATAATGCAAAATCATGCATAAGAATATATTCAAGTTGTATTAATGCTTATTTGCAGAAATTGACCATCTATTTGTAATCGAATCTCAAATTTCAATCTTGACAAGTACTCTTTATTTGTACCAACTGGTAGTGAAAAGTGTCTACGTGGCAATAAATCACTGATTACATAATTAAATGTATTGTATATTATAGATATAATAAACCATATTATAAATAGTATGCAAGCTTATCAAAAGTATGACAATACAAAAAATCTTCTGGGATTTCAAAAAAACTATATGTCGCATTACATAATTAATTTTTTTCAAATTCGTGAAAATCACACTTTCTTCGAACGATTTGATGGCGAGTGAAAGAACGTAATATACACCCCTCATGCGTTTGAATTATATGGACTGCATGATTTGTCGCTATTCATGGCACCAGTAAAACAAACGGATATATCCGTCTAAAAATTTCGCTTGGAATTACAGATTTTTATTGATTTATATTGTACCTATTTTATTAATGTATTATCCTAACTTTCAATCACTAAATTTCCAAAAGATTTGGAAATATTTCTAAAAGTTTATAAACTTCAATAAATGATAAATCAATCAATCAGTCAAAACGTACCTGCAAATGTTCATATTTTATTAGTTTCAATGAAAAAGTTGATATTTTTTAGGCTCCCCTTTTATAAATAAAAAGTAACGTTATAAAACCTAAAAAAGTACTAAAAACTGAATTATAGTGGATTTGTTAAACAATTTATTGAAAAGTTCAAATGAAACCACTAGTGAGCATTTGATAATGTAGAATTCAATAGAACACCTACCACCGATATAAAAATATTTACCGACTGAGATATATTTTACCATCAGTAAAGTGAATCTTCTATAACATGTGCGTGTTGGTTCCTTAATTATTTTCATGTTTTTATCCAACACTTTTCAATGAATTAAGTAACTTACATTGGATTAATAATGATCATATGACCGATAAAAAAGAATTCTAATCTACACTCGGCAACAAAATTATCGCAACAAAAAAATTCATCGAAATTTTGTCGATTTTCAAATGCTTCTATCTTGGGCTAGATTTATCGTATCGACACGCTTTTTTTTTTAATTTCTTGGAAATTTTGTCCTCTTTAAATCCATATAAATTAAGATAAGATTTGAGTTAATGTTGAGTTACCAGTAGTATTTGAGCGTGACCCTAAAAATTACTGAAAAAAAATGACTGTTTGAACGTGTACCAGTACCACAGTGATTTTTTTATCGAAATCTAACATACACCATCGCAAAGTGCTCTTTTCAACGAGTAATTTAAAAAAAAAAAGACCTCTCTACGATTTTTTTAACGCCCTGTAGGTCGATTTGAAGATACCATTTAAAGTACGTAAAATTCCCCGTTTAACTGAAATCAAGACGATTTTCTGGGCATTATGCGTACATAAACCGTACCTTCAAATCGACCTACAGGGCGTTAAAAAAATCGTAGAGAGGTCTTTTTTTTTTTAAATTACTCGTTGAAAAGAGCACTTTGCGATGGTGTATGTTAGATTTCGATAAAAAAATCACTGTGGTACTGGTACACGTTCAAACAGTCATTTTTTTTCAGTAATTTTTAGGGTCACGCTCAAATACTACTGGTAACTCAACATTAACTCAAATCTTATCTTAATTTATATGGATTTAAAGAGGACAAAATTTCCAAGAAATTAAAAAAAAAAGCGTGTCGATACGATAAATCTAGCCCAAGATAGAAGCATTTGAAAATCGACAAAATTTCGATGAATTTTTTTGTTGCGATAATTTTGTTGCCGAGTGTATTTTGAGCGTTCTTACAAAATGTTTTTCATCTCAATGAGCTAGTTTTTTTATGATTTAAATTTCATATAGTGATGCGATACTATATAGTAAAAAATTCTTATTTCGAGGAAAATAAAAAATTAAAACTAATGATTGAATTATGATTATCCTAATGTTTTACAATAATCACGAATGTTTTTGTTTTGGAGAAAAGGTCATTTTATCATATCTAAAGTGACTTTTACTTGTAAGTGGGATTCGATGTAAGTATAAAAGTTAGTTTTTTCTTGTATCTACAGGAATTTCTCAAAATATATTTTTATTTAATTAGCGTTATTATTGTTTTATGAAAAATAGTATTAAAACCATTGGCAAAAACGGGGGTACCTCAGATCTCACTTTTTTAAGCAATTTTGTACATATTAGCAATAAGACGAAATCCTGGACTTTATTTTTTTATAGTGGTTTCAATATTTCCATAATTTTCCGATATTCGTAATAGATATAAATTACTTTTTAAAAGTAAAAAAAGTGCACTTGTTTTTTTAAAGAAAATTTATTTATTAAGTAAAAAATAATTACATAATTTTGCAGAATATGAAATTTACTTCACAGCAAGCAAACAGCATAATTCTGAGTACGTGTGTATAAAAATTGAAAACATCTATGAATCAGCATAAATCATTTTTTTTGACAGTTTCATATGAAAAATTGCCTCATATTACGTATATGATCTTTGACCCTACGAAATATTTTCCAAAAGCTAGAAAAAATTAATCGCACAACTAAAATAAATTAATTTTCAATCTTATACACCCTGGTGCAGACGATATCATCTACTTTCATGACCTATAATAAAAAAACAAAACGTCAAGTTAAACGTGTCATTATCCAAATAAAAATTGAAAAATGGTGACGCTTACGGCTTTCATTTCCGTGGGGGTGAATTCGCGTTCGATGAGCGTCTCCTTGTCGCCCTTCTGTACGTGAGTCATTTTGTTGCCGTCGAGGGTGATGACACTTTTGACTTTGCGACCGTCAGGTGTTTCCTCGTCGAATTCCTCGCCCAGCTTGAATTTGATCTCCTGGTTCTTGAATGTACTTTGCGTCTTCATTGTGTACTCGCCATTGTTTTCAGTCACTTCAACGACTGGACTTACGGCAGCGCCCATCTTACGTACGATGAGGCCGACTCCTATAAAAACATTCATAACAATTATTTATTTTTGTACGAGAGTGGTTAATTTTAATAATTATTTTGTAAAGTAAATTTGATGACTAATATTTGGGCCCAGTACTGAATCGGATAACTAACTATTTACTGTAAGGTAGATGCGACCGAAGAATAGATAAGATAAAGAAATTCGATGAATTATTTGAAGACGATTTTATGATGACGATTTATGATCGACTCGTCAGACGTTTACATTATGCAATTAATATAAATTTTCAAACGCCAAAACCAAAGTTATTAATTATTTGAAATAATTATTTGAAATTGTACCCAAGGCTTTCATGTACTCGTCGAATTTTTCGCTGGACGCTAGCTTGTAACGTTTTCCTACGAACTCCATTTTTGCTTTTATCAATTTTTACTGTACGAATTATTCACAACAGCTCGGTCCACGATTTGATATGTACTGAAAGCAGTGTCGAGCGGTCGAGTATATTTTATAAAATATCATATTTTCTGTATACGTTGTGTGGCGCAAACGTAGACTACAATGTCAGTGACTTTCTAATCGGCCAATCAGAACTCAGAATTGTCCACAATCAGTAAACCGATGCGATCGGTGGGATCATCATTGTTATTATTATTTTTTTTTTTTTGAGAAATGGAAAGACTAAAAAAGTAGAGAATGTGAAAGGTGAATCAAAAAAATTAGAAAGGAATATCGAAGACAAGTTTTGCTGGGAAAAAAATGTGTAGTTTGCGTCGTGAATCTACACTTTGTGCAAATGATGAAGATAAACCACACATCTATGGGTCAGCGATGAGTGTAACAGGCAATTATTTTATCACGTGTAGCTTTTATCGATGGTCGTATTTATGCTTTGCAAATAGTTGCAAAATGCTTTATAAGCCTTTTTCTCGCTAAGTGTACGATCGCATGACTAAATAAATATTGACATAGAGTTACAACGGGCACTGGTAAGATTTTAAAATAACCGTCGATGTATCTTCCTCTCTGCAAAATAGCCAATTTTGTCATCTGCGCTTGTTTTTCTCAAGCAAATTATGTCCACGTTCAAAAATTCAGCTGAGATACAACGAGACGATTGCGAAACTTAATGTTCTTCAAAGTTCAAGTTACCATCAGTCGAAAATTAAATCGTTTAGGCGGCGCAATTGTCGGCTCTATGAAACAGCACAGATTTAAATTAAAAGCAAGAGCAAAATTTTTTGAAATATTTTCCGTTATGGGGTAAATTTCGAGAAAATAGGTGGACTCATCTTCCAGGACGAGCTCAATGAATTAGATTTATTGTGATGGTCGATACAGGGACACGTTGGCGTGCGTGTGACGATTGAGAGCAAGTCGAGTTTTCAAAACGACATTTCTAAAGACGAATTTAATCATTATCAAATTAAAACGATCAAAGACGTTTTCGAGGCTCGCGTGCTTATTTAGCTCAAAGATAGATGCTTGACTAATCGTAATAGTTCATTTAATGCTGTTACACAGAGCACATGATAGTAGAATTAAATCAGGCAAGTGGTATTTGGGCTTTAGTCGTTATGTATCTCGGGCTCGATGAGCTGTAAAAGGACAAAATTCAGCAGGAAGCGAAATTTCATTTGATTCGATAAGTGTGGTTCGCTTCGATAAATGTTTCTGAAAAAGATATTTTGCTCGCGCGGAGAAGAGGTGAAAATAAATTGCGAGAAATCGAATGACGTGGCGTATGACAACGCATCGGAGCCTATAATATACAACGGCCAACGCACATACATATTACATACATGTGCGTAGAGTAACGCGCAGAGTTTATAATAATAATTACAACGAGCGAAGGCGAGATTGAAATAAACGACGGTATTTTCCCGTTCAAGCAATCAAGAGTATCTCATCATTTCCCTTTCGTGCGTTATGTATGTCTACACAAGTGAGAGACCTATAAGCGCGTACACGCACGCGTTGACTATGCGCTGCAGAGAGAATGTGTATTGCACGCAAGGCTTGTTACGCGCTTCTGCATCTCGTATGTGTGTGTGCGCGCCTTCTCCTCTCTGTATATAAGAATGCAAAACGATCCCTGGAAAGAGAAAAAAACAACAGAAGCGTAAAACTTGGTGCGCGTTATACGTTACGCACATGTGTCAAGCCCATGAAATTTGACGCTCTATCAGGTATACACGCGCTCTCCCGCATTCTATTATACGCGTATATTATAATAAAAAAAAATGCAATTTTTCGCCGTATACGCGTTGGCCTGATATTACGGCCGAGGTGGCAAAAGAAGTTTTACCATGGACGACACCGAGGACGATCGATACGAGCTGCAGCCAACTTCGAGGCAATTTATTTTTTATTCTATTCAGTCTCGGTGCGCGCGTTTGCAAAAAATTCATGCACCATGCATGGTATTCTGCACATTTTTAATGTAACATTAGAGTGCAGGCGAAAAGAAGGAAGGGGTCAAGGTTTCACGATGTGTATGCACAGCAGTTTGTGTGCGACCGATTACGATTTATTAAGCGCACTTGAGAATGAATTCAGGGATTAAATTGGCTGACAATTGGTTCGTCTGCGCGCGCGAAAGGCGGCGGCTCTCTGCTGAGTGCTGGTGCGGAAAGGGTCGACGAACCGCCGCATACCGAAGCTCGTGGAATTAAATATTCATCCGATTATTCGCAATTACGATACGTCAAATATAGTCTCTCGTGTCGTATTTTTAGAATGTCTACGCTCTCTCTCTCTCTCTCTCTTATTCTCTTTCACAAAAGATGCCGAGCGCGCATGGTTTTCAACAAAATCAGCGTTGGAATTCAATTAGCAAGAGGGCCCATTAGCAGCGCAACAGGCTGGTTTGTGTAGAGACTATTAGCTTTTTCTCATCTGCCGATGCCCGAGCACCTACAGGAGAGATGATGCAGATGCGGCGCGGATAATTGCACGTGTGCGCAAGCAACGAGCAGTCGCCTGTTGCGATGCACCGCGCGGCGAGAAGTACTCAGTGCGGAGGCGCGCGTACACCTATACCTATACAGCTAAAAACCAGTTCTCCGATACATCCTGTATGTACGGCAAAAATTCGACGGAGGTGTGTCGCGTCTATTATTTTATACCGCCAGATTGGAGAAAACTTGTCAACGACCTACTAAATACCAGTCTCGATTCGTTTCCGTATATTTTATGTGGGTATCGATCGGTCAAGTTTACTTTTCACACAAGTACAGGCGTTGATTTCTATTAAAAATTCACCGCTTTCGAGATGGCACTCGCGATTACGACTTGCGAGTAGTTTTATTTCCATAAATGATAAACAAACACGCAAACGTCGGAGCTTTATGATGGCTTTAAATACGCGGAATGAGAACAATAGCCAAGTTGGAGGTATATTGACAAAAAGCACGCATACGAGTCATACGACATATTGGCAACTTTACATATACTCCAATATTAAAACGTAAATTATTAATTCGGAGACTCGTTTCTATTCCATCGCGTCGAAATCAGCAGACTTTGCAAACACGCACACACGCACACGCACGATTCGCGACGACAACGCGTTGATGCTAAAAATCCGTACAGAGAGAGCCACGTGGGTTACGAGGTGTAGCAAAAAAAAAAGATCCCGGTATTTCGTCATCGTCGCACGCGCCAAATTGCAGATGTGCCGAGCGTTTCTGCGCAGCATCACGCCATCCAACGGGAGAAAAGGATGAAGCTATAATAGAGAACTGCAAACACGCTATACCTATACCTATAATGCAATAGGGCACGCCTCTGTAAAGGCGCATACGGTAGCAATAACAGCAACAAAAAAACAAACAAAACAAAAACAAGCGAAAAAAGATAGAGATAAAACAAAATCAAAGGTTGAGTATTACCGAGGGCCTTCATGAGCTCGTCAAAGTTCTCGCTGGTCGACAGCTTGTACCTCTTGCCGAGAAATTCAGGCATTGTGTGTGGGTTGTTATCGAACTTGCTAATGTGGAAATGCGAAACGAAGCGACTGCCGTGGCGTCTGTTTTGCGACTGGGGCAAAGGAGGCGCGATGCCGGCCGGCTCGTCGAGCTGCTCGCCGCTCGCTCCGTATAGTACAGTCTGCTCCCGCCACGAACCACCCGATACACCTTTAAGTTCACTAAGAGCAACACTCGCTGCGTCGGCCACCAGCCGCCCATATAGCATATAGTACCGGCAGATGCGCGCATTCGACCTACCGATGTGTGGGTATTATACGCCTATGTGTGTTTAGTGTAATCACTCGCACACATAGCATTAAATTTAGCACATTGACATGTTGTACACATGTACGCGCACGGGCCCCCCTTTTCGGCATCTCTTTTCAAAACTTCGAGCAGTGGATTTTCAATAGAGCAACCAATTAATATTTCGAGTTTTGTATGTAAGCTACTTACAGTGACTGTAAAACGCTACAGAGTCAATGTCAATTTTCATATCACATACTTTTCTGCCATTTAATTATTTACGGAGATTTTTTAAACCGGAATTTTGAAGAAGATAGTACCTTATATTTAAAAAAATACCAATGTAAAAGAATATCAAATCGTATTTTTTACGGCTAAAGGAAAAGTTTTACATACATATTACAAAAAATAATGCTTTAGCCTAGCATATATTATTTATTTTACGGGTAAGCGCAAAGCCGCTATTAACCCAGTTCTCAATTTTTCATGCTGAACTACCTCAAAACGTTACGGCGGATATGCGTAGGCATGGCTTTTTTCGAACTGCACTCAAAAATTCAGACGATTCCAAATCTGACAATCCGACAATAATTACATATTTTTTTCATTGCTCCAATCTCGGGAATAAGTTCTAATTTTGCTTCTTGTACGATATGAAATATGTGCACTGATCGCCGGCATGATTAATTGGATTTAGGCGCGCTCATGCGAGAAGCTCTCGACGACGATCGACGAGTGGCATAATCGCACGACACGGGCTCGTCTCTCTCACAATTTCCAATTGGTTAAAATATCGTGGCTCTGTATTTCCGATTCTTTTTTCGAGCTGAGCCGCTTTCATTGAAGCCGCATCATCGTTTAGTCCCATCAAAGAGCTCGATTATGAGTTATGCAATATGCATGAAAGGATCAGCGCATGTATACGAACACATTCACACGGACGCCTTTTTTTTTCGTCAAAAAAAGACTCGTTTAAATGGGCCAGTACGGGCTTAACTAAATAAATATTTGATTTTCAGGGGGACCTATGTAACATGTACGTCTATGTACATCGTCAAAGGAAAGTTATGCGCGCAGCTACTTTAAGCCTTAACAAGCAGTCGTACACGCGCGGTGAGCTTGAAACACTCCGTTCTAGCGAACATTCTCATTTCAGACGATAGTCTTTCATGCACAACTGCCTGCATGTCTGCACTCTAATGTGTAGGTAGTACTATTGAGTGTACACGCGAGTCACGATTATTATACAGAGCCGATTATGACTGTATAAAGCACACGTCTGTGCCGTATCTATTATGACTGATTTGTGTATTAACTCTATTATATCATTGTCATGAGTAATTATTATATTGGATTGTCATATACTTTCAAACATTGTACAATTGTTAGATTACATTGTTAAATTTTAAACAATGAAGATAATCAAGAATTTAATCATTTTGATTAATTTGATTTTAATCTATTTTTACAATTTATATGCTTTCAATACCCTGATTAACAATATGACGTAAACAATATTTTGTGAATTTTATTTTGTTGCGCTAATGTTTTTAAAAAAATTCTGATCGTCCATCCTCGATCGGTTGAAATATTTTCGTACTTGCCGAGAGAACATTTTCTACAATGAGCACGAGAGGACAGCACCATCACGAGTACTTGAATAACTGGTAGTTTTATTGCGATAGAGAAATATTCTTATTAGGTGATGGAAACCTTTTTTATGTAGCATAAAAGATCTTTTTGAAATTGGCATTATGGTGGTGTGCAAGTTTTTTTTACATATAAAATAGAATCCTGATAAATCAGTTAAAAGGTTTCTCGAGATGTTTCTAAAAATAGTCCTTACACGAAAATCGTAAAAAAGATCAAAGTTACGATTTTCAATACCGTAATCTTATTTTCTTCTTTTGCTAACAAGTATATTGAATCAGATGTATATTATGATTATTTGTTGGTACGACTTTTTTTCTATCGGACAAAAAGTGTTTCTTAACAGATTAAAGGGTCTTTGAATCGAAAGCCTTGTATATTGTCGAGCATTGAAAATAATTGATACCTTTATCAAGACTTTTTCATCGAACAAAACGCGACCATTGGCGCGGAAATTACGCCATAAATAAGATCGTAAAAGGAAGCTTTGAGAGATCGAAACATGCACTTTATTAAAAAAACCTTACTGCTCTTACATGTGTCACATATCGAGCTACATACGGTATACCTTGCCTAGTCGTTTCATACTTCTTTTATAATTTATTACGAGGAGCTGTAACGTCGAATTCTCGTAAAAATCAATTTATCTTGAATAATGAGAGTATAAAAGGAATGTTTACAAGTCCTGCGCGTCGTTAATGCATCGGAAGCAAGTTTTTTTTCAGGTAACTAACGAAACACTGTTATGCCTGCAGGGTTTAGTCGAGCTCGAACAATGCAAACTTTTCTTTTGTTTTACATTAAAAAAAAGCAGAATAGTCCGAGTGTAATTATGTTTCATTTTTTGTCCTTGTCTTGGCAAAAAGTATCACGATATAACGAGCCTGGTGAACTGAAGTTCAAAATTTTGAAATAACCAATTATTACGAGAGCTAATAAAATAGTGATAAAATAAATCATCAATTTAACGATAAGCTTTCTCTGGGTAGGAGTTATTTTCGCGCAACAATTAATTTGCATCACGAATGAAATATAAAAGAACGTAGGGCTCTTATTTTATACTTAAAAAGGCACCGAGGCAGACGCGTTATGCTCAACAAGTTCATTAAAAATCTAAACATAGGTGGCAATTTGGCGAAGGCAACGAACCAACTGTGAAAAAAAGGAAAGAAAGGTAAGCAACACGTCATAAATAATGGCTAAATCTGATTAACGTTATATTAAGTTACAGTCGCGTACTTACTTTAGAGCCTCATTTCCGAAGCCCCCGTGTGCGTGAACTCGCGCCTCGTGCGCGCGTATATATTTGCGCTTATACAGAGGCAGAGGCAGCCTAGAGGATAAGGAATAGGACAGACAAATTGATAACCCGGGGCAGCTGCTATGGTGTGTACGTAGAGTATAGCATAGCTACAGCTATCTATATAGGTAGCGGTGCAGAGGAGAATCATCCGCGTGACGGAGCATTACTCGCTATACTCGTCAATTTTCTCCTCTCGTCGTCGTCGTCGTCGTCGTCGGATTGCTTGGCTGCACTGCTCCGATGTCGTGTGCATGTGTATTCAAATTATATACAGGTAGAATAACTCAACGGCCTCACGTATACGTATATGTAATGTACACACACGTCGCGCCAAATACTTATATATTTTCACAAATATACTTTTACGTGCCTCGCAAAAGGGCGTACACGAGACGGTACTCGGGCGAGCGCGCGCCAAGACTTCAACGAAGGATAATTTTATTTCCCTCATCCTGGCGGAGTTTAGGAGTAGCAGCAGCAGCAGCCACCGCCGAGTGCATGTGTCACGCAAGTTATCCTCTAATGTCTACATCATGAATGCTCCTAGACCTCATGCAAATGAACTTGGAACTTTATATACGTGTATATAAGTGCGTACGAGCCGCGAATAAGTTACAGCTCGCCCCGAAAATCATCTTATATCAAGTCCTGACAGCGGCAGTGAAGCAAGCCTGCGCCAGCTCCTATATATATTTTATGCACCTCCTCTCGACTTACACGCTCGCTCGAGCCAAGCTCGACGCCTCGGCTCGTGAACCGATGAAAATTTACCTCCTCCGAACTTGCGGCCAAAAATATTCAAGTAATTAACCCGACGTGTATAAATATGTATCCCCGTATAAGTTACGCGCCTGTTTGCCGCGTATATACGTGCATGCATAATACGCGTATACGTACTGCGCAACAACCAACTTTAACCATTCTTCCTTAAGCATTCGAGAATTTGCACGTGTGCGCGAGCGATGATCTCGATAATAGCTCAAATAGTTCGACACGAGCTCGGCATGCGCGCAAGTATAACTAAACCTTTTGTTCACTCTGATGTGTATACTGCGCACAACATAGCTTCGCCTACCCTTTTAATTTCCAGTTCTCGTTGCACCGTCGAAAAATCTCAATCTAAAGAAAGCAGCCGATACAGCGAATCAATTTTTTTTCCCCGAGACCTGTTCCACTTGTTCGAATCTTCGCTGAATTCTGACGGAAATGAAAAAGAGTAGCGCGCAGAAATGAAATTACGCGAGACTCGTGCAACTGTGAAATCAGTCGAATAAGTTTTGTTTCGTTGTCCCTAAACATATTTTACACGCGTGTGCATTGACAGCGAAACTTTTATGGCGGCATTCGAATCGTTTGAGTTATTTGGGAGAAAAACTTTATGTGCACGCGTCTACTCGGCGATGCGAGCTCGTTTGCCTCTCTGTTAGATGTATTTTTGTTGTCGGTAATGACATGCAATAGTTACAACTCATATATAAATTTATTCAGCATAATTAAATCTTTTAACTTTTCAATGCATTAAACGTTATGCTGTACGCTGCAATGACTGCAAATATTATATTTACTCGCTCGTTTGCCTTTGACAAACTTTGGATGAACACTGCTCGTATATGCGAGTTGGAAAAAAAAACACGAAGTAGCGAATTTTCTCCGGGGCAAGCATCAATTCAATCGAAAGCGAGCATAAATACCGATACATGTACACGCGTATTGTACATCCGTCATGATCAGGGGCCCTTACAAGTTTTCGCAATTTTGCTGTTCATTAGAGCTTTCGAGATATATGAAATTTCAATAATAAACGCGTAAGAGCAGCAATGCTACTACTTATTCGATATTAACCAAAATAATTCAATGATTCGAGCTTAACAATGCTATATATTGTTTGGAACATTTCCACATGATCAAAGTAACAATGCGGATTGTTGTAAGTTATTTAGATATTACGCTCGATCCTTTTAGCGTATAATACGTCCATATTTTTCCTTAATCAATAGAAAATTAGGATGCGCGTTCGATAAATTGTATAACATTATCAAACGTATATTATAGTCTGTGGAAGCTTCATGTCAGTGGCCCCCCGACTAATATATCGAGTTGCACTTTCAAGCGTTCATATATACCTTTAGCTTTGAGTACAAAATGGCTTGACTGTGTATATAGGTGAGCATGTGTGTGTGTGTCTGCTCATTAGAGTATACTAGGCTGAGTAAATGTAACTTGTTAAGATAACACCTTTGACGTTAGGTACACATGCATACAAGATGGAACATAAGATGTTGGAATTAATCAGGAGTGAGTAAGTGCGCGTACCTTTTTGTTCATCGTCGCGAGTAAATATATCTCGCCGAACGTTTAACCGGTAAAAAAGTACGTACAGGCAGTAGCAGCGGAGGCGCGCGAGGATGAGCCCTAATGCGAGTAAAATCGGAAACGTCGTGGATTATAGGTGTAGGGGGATAAAGGCGCCCCGAGAGCGATCATCGCAACGATGACAAACTGCCTCGGCATGCCGCATAGCGCGTCCTCGCTTCTTCCCGCCCAGCGTGTATAAATTACATCGTCAAGGAGGTTTTTTCGTCGTCGTCGTCGTCCAGCCTTATAACGGCGCATAAAACACGAGTTAAAGAAGTGCCGCTGCTCTCGAGTCCATAGGTACAATATTATCCAGAGCACGAGACAGGTTCATACATAGGCCAGTACAAGCTGCTCACTGTCCGTTCTCTCTCTCTCTCTCGCTCGCTCGCTCAGTAGCGGAGGTTCATAGCCCCGCGTGTGTACGATATATAATATGTATATAGCGGCGCGCAGACGCCCCTTGGCCTGCAGCACCCTTACCGCGTATATACACGCGCCGCGCAGCAGATTCACTCCCAGCATCCGTGGATGGAGTCGCTACGGCTCGCAGCAGTCGAGTTCGCGACCTGTGCCGATCATCATCCTGCGTGTGCATACACCCACACACCTGTCTCCTCGTCGCGCGCAGCTGTGATCTTTTTCTTTCGCCAGGGGGTAATTCCGAGTGCGCCAGGTGAAGCTCGTTCCGAGTCTCCTTCGAGATATCAGTGCCCAGTGAAACTGCAGCAGCCTCGTACATCGCAGTGCGCGTACCTCTTAATCGGTATTAACGGCGCGTTGCCAATATTCGGCGAGAGAAATCGGATATAAATCGAGCACCCGCATGCGATAGGCTCGCCATACGGGTACGAGTGCGCGCGCGGGCCTGAGAGTCGAGGGAGGAAAATTTCGAAAGAAAAATTCAAGTCAAAAGTCGCGGCCAGTTTGGGCGACGTCGCAGGCGACGTCGGCAACGTGCTGTGCTGTGGTCGCGCAAGCAGCATCGGCAAGACAGCCCGCAGGAGGAGGAGCAGTCGCAGGCCGCGGCGTACGAGGTAGCGGCGGCTAGCGGCGGAGGCAGCGGCGTCATCGGGCCCGGATGCGCCCAACCGGGAGGCCCCCAGCCTCAGGACAGGTTGGAGGGCAAAATCGTCACGGCCTTCAACAAGTTCATCACCACATCGCCCCTGGTTAACAAGGTCAAGCTGCTCATGGTGAGCCCCGATACATTTGCATTTTATTTCCATTTTATTTGCCGAAGGTTTCTTTTTTTTAACATTTTTCAAGCGTTGACCGCGCGCGCTCAAGCAGCACGAAACTGTTTGGGAATAATTACGCGTTCGAATGTACTGTATTCGCTGCCGGCGCAGTCACAACGTTTCGAGAATTTCAAATTAACCAAATAATTTTGTGGATAATTAAATGAGTGCAATGAGTTATTTCATTACCTCGTTTCTTTTTCAAAAATCAGAAGCAAATTAGATTGGTTAGTAATTAATTGGGTACATTATCATAATCATCACGATAAACCAGTCGGGTGAAATCTCGCTCAGGTTTCTTCCTTAATTTTATACATCAAGTCATAAATACTATCGATATTAGCAATAAAACGATAATTTGACTACTTTCTTCACTTATTTTAACACGAATATTGAAAAATGCAAAAATAAACGCGTATCTATGTTTCATTATTTTTACACACTAATTTACAACTTTTATTCACATTTTTGCATGCCATGAATAAGTAAATTAAATATGCCCTCCAGTAGGAGCTTTTTTTACTCTCATTTCCCCCTTTAAAATGTATGTGTTGGGAGTATTTCGCAGACTAAAGTATTCGATCTAGTTGATTCTCCACGATTTCGCACGTTTTACTACGGGTACTTGCGTGGTTACATAAAATTTACACGCGTGTGTAAAAAAAAGTTCAGATAATCATCGGTTCTCGCGTATTCGAAATCGCTCTTACCTGGCATTGTACTGAAAACGCAGTCTTCATTTTTATTTCGCGACATTTTAGCTTTTGTGTGCAGAGACGGGGGTTTGCCGATGGCAATCGCCAAAAACAGACACGATCGCGAAACTTGAAAAAAAAAAGAAAAAAAAACAGGCATTTCTTATATAACTATTGAGGCTGTTGTAGTATATACATTGTTTGCGCAACTGCTACAGTTATTACTGCACGCGCCACAATGGGGTGAAAGCACAAAAAAAAGCTCCCGAAGCTTTCGTGTATTTATGCTTAAAAACAAGGCAGTTCGACAGCGCGCGCAAACACACATATCTCTCTCTCAAGGGGCGCGTGTTTATTTGACTCGTATAAATTTTCTAAAAGCTCAATCACGTAATATTCCGCGCGACGGTCGTTTATTCGTTCGCGAGAGTTGTAAGACTCCGGCCAGCCAACTCTGCATGACATCCTTTTAGTCGGATGTATCTAAGAAGTTGCGGAGCACGCAGAGGCAGTCGACCGATTGAAACCTTATAGAAAATGCGCTGAGAGACTTTCTGCTCGTCAAAAGGAATACATGCATATGAATATGGGTCTTTGACGTGCACGTCAGGCGAATCGACCGATGTCTGTACGTATGTATAACTGTACGCACTTTACATTAGCGTCGTTTTAAAATTAATCCAAGTTCGTCACGCTTCGAATGTCAACTTGGAAGCATCTCGCGAACGGCTGGAGCATGTATAAAACGTTTGCTCGGCTTCTTTTGTGCTCGAAATAAACAGCGCGCGAGCCGAGATTGCGACTAGGGATAGGAGTGTATATATCGCGGGCCTGAAAGGACCTGACGCTTGGCGTTTACGAGACACTCGGAGTGCTTCCGAAATCAACGAGCGACATCTGCCATTCCGTATGCACATAAACGCATTGTGCGCGACACGAGCTCTCGTCGTCTAGTGGTGCAGCCTGGCAGTACGGTAGCAAAATACACCTTTGATTTCCGCTTCAAAGTCTCATAAGCGCCACACGCGAATGTTAGAGAGATATTGTTTTATGCACAACCGAGCTCTGATCTTGTAGACAATGCCGCTAGCTGCTACTGTTGCTGTTCGTTAAAACGGCAACTTTCAGGCTCGCGTAGGGGCAGAAAAAATTTTAATGAATTTCCATGAGAGCTTCATAGTGGGAAGTTTCATAAATTGTTTAAGATAAAACTTTTTGGTTAGCAGTTGGCGGATAGAAATTCGCCCACCGAGGGGGATCATGATGACCCAATTAGAGTCAAACAGAAGGAAATTCGCAACTTGAGAATACATAAAGTGTCTGATTAAATGCGACGCGTACACGGCATAAGCGCGCGCTGTGTACCAGCCACTGCTGCTGCTGCTCCTGCGGTATAATACAAAGGATTAAAAACTGTTCCGACGTTGCGCGACGCGACGCGCGCCAGCAGCGACGAGTTTTATTTTACTTTTAGTTACAAGTGCGGTGAGCGCGTAAAATATTAATGTAAACACGATTTTATATCACTGTCGCTTCCAACTCATCGGTAGTTCCTCTTTTATATGTATCAAGACGTGCTCGGTAATTGTGCTTTACAAATGTGCTTTTCCATCTGTCCGTAATCTCGATCGCGAAAAATTACGATTTTTATAGAATCCGATTGCAAAGGCTCGCCGTTCGAATCGATATGGTCAATGGCATTGAGGTATTTCGTGTACCGCGTCTGCATGCAAACATACACGAGCTTAAAAGCTTCGGCACAGAAAGAGAGGCCGAAACATTGAAAAAATCCATAACAAAAGAAGCCAATCAGTCGGCACGCGAAACTCGACTTGTTTTACCTTTTCTTCTTTTTTTTCGTGTTCGATTCTTCGTCAGAAGAATTTCTCGACGCTCGCAGCAAAAAGCGCATCGACAACACACAGCCGACCTCTCGACGATCATCACAGTAGCAGGATGCGGTTATGTTTGATTTCAGTGCCTCTCCTTCTCTTTTTGCCTCCCCTCTAGAGAGCTCGGCCAGGCGTCCGAGTCCCACATCGAACGCGTGCGCTGCGGCAAGATCACGATCGTCCAGCGTAGCAATTTTTTGCACTGATATTTCTGCCTCAACCTGCCCAACGCGCCCATTAAAAAGTGAAATTCTTAATTTAAAAGCTCATTAGATTCAAATACTTAAAGAATAATATTTGCTTTAGTCGTGAAGTATTCAATTGTGTGGTGAAGGTAATTGAACATTTTCTAAATGTTTCAACTGCTACAATGAAAACAGTACAATTGAGCTCATGCTAGTTTCCTATATATAACGTTCGAGTCTTTGTAAGCTTTTGAAATGCCAATTTAGCTCCGTACAATTCGTCGAAATAAACTTCACGACAAACGCGTCGGCTGGAAATCTTTAGTTGAATTTGTTTTGACTAAAAATATCCGGAAAATGTATGCTTCCTAAATCAGTATGAGTAGTATAAGGTTGCTCGAAATTGCTATGTTGTATTTTCGTGCAATTATCAAGCTCTAGCAATCAGGAATTGTCATGCATGGAGTGATATCGCAAGAAAATTCATCGTTTTCCTATATATTACTCTCCGGCTTCGTTTCATCCCCAGAGCCACGCGATTATTTATCTTAATAATCACTGACTGCAGTGCAATCAACACGTGTACGCTCCCTACTTTCTCGTAAATGAGTCTAGTGCATCGTTTAATGAAAACCTTACTACCGTCGTATTTCTCTTCGTTATATAGTAGTATTGATCGTCGAAAAAATGAAAGAATGCAAAAAGTGAATCGAGAACGAGCGAGATTATACGGTAAGTTGTAGCTCTCCAGTATGTGTGGGTGTGTGTGGTTGTGGCAGTACGAGTGGGTCATTGCTGCATGCGAGTGCAATTATCGATACTTTCGATGATAATTGTCTAGTCGGAAGTTCGTACAACTTTGCTTGTCTATTGACTATTTGAACCTTGAAGCTGATTTCGTTTATTTTTTATTTTTTTTTAATACAAAAGTAGCAACTTGGCGTCTCGTGGCAAACTTTTTACTTAGAATCGACGCCCAAACAATTTTCTTAAAAGTCGCGCATGTATGCGTAAAAGCGTTGAAAGCCACGTACGTAGGTTTAGCTGCAAGCTCGATTTTTAACTCAAAGAAAAAAAATTCAACGAGTCCTCGGAGAAATTAAATACTACACTTTCCATGTCCACCACAGTGCGAACTCTAAAAGGTCAAATAAAAATTGGACAAATTCCGGGGCAATTACTCGTTAAATTCGAAAAATAATTTCAGACTTTTTGATTTACTCCACTCATTCGAGTTCCATAAAAAATACTATATAAATATTATCTCGCAGTCATTCCACCAAGTTTGATAAATGTCTATTAAATCACATTCTTTGAATTCTTAAAATACCTGCACAACGTATAAGTTTAATTAAAACTGTGTGTCACCCACTTTTATGAAAAAAAAAATCATTTTCAATATAAACATTTCTTTTCGCTATTGGATAAATAAGTTGTTGACTCGTTAAAAGCTAGAATAATGATAAATGTTTAATCTAGCTTGGCGATAAAAAATTAATTTATCTATAAAAATGGCCAGAGGCAGTTAACAGCTTACACGAAGTTGACACTCCTTTCATTCGTTGCATCGAGAAAATTTACGATTTGTGAAGATGCTTTTTTCATCTGGAAATCCAAGTAACTCGGAGAAACTCGAGAAGCATTTTGTCAAGACAGAGGCGTGTGCGCCTCTTATCAGCAAAAACTTGTATTTTTCAAAGTAAACTAAGAGACGCGAGAACACATCCTATGTAATTCCTGCAAAAACAAAGCCGCGATTCTCAGCTCCCTTCCTCTCTCTCCCTCTCGGTGTTCTGACCACGAACGAAAAAAAATGAAAAGAAAAAAAATACTTGCTCTATCGTCGAATAAAGCATCGCCGGCAAGATACTTTCCATTGGCGGGAAATCTTCTTTTCTCACCTTTTCACGACTCACGGAGTTATAAAATCCCTTTTTGAAGCTATATATCCGCGCGCGCTGTACTGAATTCGCGATAGCTCATACGGACTTATCTCGGTATAAGGAAGTTTTCCGTCGCGAAGAGGCAGAAGGCATCGGTGCTTGTAGTCTGTGAATAAACACGCGCGAAGCTTAGGGCGCGCGTCGACAATCAAACCAATAACTCACTGCTATGCGCTCGAATCGCCCTCACTGCTTATATATATAGCGAGACGCGATAAGTTCGGGATAAAACGTATATCT